TGGTCTTCTTTTTAGAAAAGTATTTAAAAATACGATTACACTCATACCTCGTTATATGGCCTTGATTAGTTCCGAAAATGTTGACCGTAAAGCGAAACACCATATGAAGAGGTAGCCGATTTCAGACAAATACATATTAAAAGCATGAAACCGGTTAAATTTATCGAAAATATAGGACTTAAATTCAAAATGAAGCATAAAATAAANATGTCCCGAAATCCCGGGATTACAGCTCCGGGATCCCGATATTTGTACTGATTCATTTACAGAATGAAAAAATGTTGAAATCGAAAAAAAAATCATTTGACATGAAACACGAGAAATACAGAACACCAAAATTTGGATTCAAAGTGAACTTGAGCCCTTGGAAGTGAATTTCAGGACATGCCTGAATAACTGTATTTGTTCAAATATTTTGTGCAAGAACTGTGTAGTAACGAAAAATCTGGTAGCAATTGAAAACACAACAAGCCTTTACAGTGTAGCGGAGTTGTTCGTCATTATACTTTGTTGGCCTTTTTTGGAAAAGGATTTCTGCAAATATTAGTAAATGTTTTTGACAAGTAATATATGTAGATATTTTAGAATGAAAATATTTAAACATCAAATTACGTACTCTTTTACTAAGGGACATTATGCTCCCCTAAGACCAAATGTGGTGACAAACAATCTGTGTGGTTTGAAAAAGGCGAACCTACTGTAAAATGCAAAAAGTTCTGATGAAGTCGAAATCCCGAAAAAATGTCGGTATCACGGGATTAGAATTTTTGAATTTCAAAATTACGGGATTGTTAAAATGCTTCGGGATTGAATGCCCTAGTTCTGGTACAAAGGTTTTCCAAACAAAAAACGCCCTTCCCAACTTTCATCGTGAAAAGCTCTTTTGACAGAAAGCACTTGAATGCCATTTTGATCGGAGTGGTCAAGGTGCAATTCAATTCAGGTCTGAGATCCTAGGTTCGAGTCCTCGGACAGCGGAATATTTTCTCCTTATTCATTAATTTTTTTATTCGATAGTCTCCTTTAATTTTTAGAAACTTAAGTTTTTTTCTTTTTTAAGTTTAATTTTATGCGTTAAAAATAAAAATATAATTTTTTAATTGAATTTAATTTTTAGAAACTTACAGTGGTGGAAAAATAAATAGGGACACGACAGTTTAATAAATATTTCCCATTCATTATTTAATACTTATAAGTTTTTTATAAACTTTCTAATCAGATTTTTTAGAATTGTTTCGGTATGCAGTTTTATAGCCTATTAAATTTTAGTAGAATAAAGTGCAAGTTTTAAGTTGCTAAATAATCGCGTTGATTTTTGATAATTTTTGTTCTGAATGTATTATGCACTTTTTCCATACAAAAAAAAATTTTCGAACAGACTTTGTATGAAAGAAAATGCGTTAAAACAATTTGCCAAAAATCAACGCGGTTTTTGAGCAACCTAAAACTTACACTTCACTAAAATTTAATGGGCTATAAAACTACATACTCCAAAAAATTCTAAAAAATCTGATTAAAAAGTTGAAAATTGCAGAATTTTTATAGTTTTTGCAAAAAGTTTGAAATATGAATTTATATGGTTATGGCAGATAATGACCGATAATTTTATAAAACAAAATAATAAATATTAAATAAATGAAAGAAAAATAGGCAAAATTTGAAAAAATTTCGTTATTTTTCCACCACAGCATATTTTTTCTATTACATTTTTTTCTTTTTCATTTAATTTTTTTTTCATTTACGTTTTAGTTTTCATTCATTTCAAAAGGATTATAAATTTAAAAACTTTTTTTTTAATTATTGAGGCGTATTCTTGTTTTCGTACGAATCGAAAATTTAAAATTTTTGTATAGTAAATGATAAAAAAAATTTCATGATTTTCGATTCGTACGAAAACAAGAATACGCCTCATTACTTTTTTCTCCTTCTAATTAACTTTTTTAGTTCTTTTATTACGTTATTTTAAAAAGAAAGGTTTTTTATGTAGTTTAATATTTAAGAACTTATTTTATTTTATTCCTTTTATTGCTTAAATTCTTTCCTTCTCAATTGATTTTTCTTTTAATTTTTAGATTTTATTCTTTTGAAAAGGATGTTTTTTTTTAATTTCATTTAATTTTAGATTTTCGATTTCTTCTAATGTTTACAATATATTATTTAAAAAAAAAATATTTCTTAATTTTTTTAACTTTATTTAATTTTTGGGAAATATATTTATTTTGATTTAATTAAAACAAAAGTTATTTTAAATAATATTTAGCTTTTAGAAACGTATCTCTTCATTTTTTTATTTTATTTTTTCTTTTTGCATATTTTTTTTTTAATTTTTAGTTTTTGTTAGTTAGTTTAGTGTAGTTTAGGAAATCGGTATATATTTTTTTAAATTTCATTAATTTTTTGGAAAACTTATTGCTAAAAGATGCTAAGACCTCCTCGTTAGCAAATCTTTCAATTAGTCTTTCGGAGAAAGGAGCTTTCAAGAAAGCTGCCAGAATTGGCAATCGTTTTACGAGACTTTTGTTGCTATTTTTGTCCTGTAATTTATTGAATATTTAAAATATAATTTTTTCAACTAAAGTTGTGGGCAAACTACAAGTGCAATCTTATTCAACATAGATACATTTTTTCTTTTCGAAGTTTTTAAAATCACCAAAAGCGCATTGATAATACATACATATGAGTATTTCCACTGCTATATGTTTGATATTCTTGTGTCCATTATATATCTACCATCAATCATTGGCATTTTGGCCAATTCCCATTTGCTTTATGAAAGCGTATAGTGTAAAGGAAAATTTAGCAATCTGAAAAAGACAATAGCATCCATTACATTTGCTTACAATAATTTTCGAAACTTGTAAAACATACTGAAACATTCGTAGCCATATTGATAGTAAATAACTTCATGGCTTTTATTTCAATTGACCTTTGAGAGTGATGCATAAAATAAATGATCGCTTTACGAAAACATCGATCCTGATCCACCCAATTGCAATGAAAAATGTCATCGGGCAATTTCTCGCTCTCCGTCATTAATTGTGTAGCGTAATAGCAACATGGTGACGTCTGCAGTAAAACGCACAGCAGGTACACTGTCGCCGAGATTTGTGTGCTTAGATCAGCAAAAATGAATATATTTATCATAGTGACACACAAAATTGAAGCAAATATCAAAAATTGCGTAAATATTGTTTTCGAAATAACCGGTTCCACTACCGCTACCAACCTAATAAATATATATAAAAAAAGTCAGATGCAGTTGGTTTTCTCGTGCATATATGTAAAACATTTACTCACTCTAAAATCTGCTGATGCGTAACAATGCAATCTACGAGCTCTTCCATCTTATCTTCGCTACTCATCTCAGCGTCCGTGCCCAATTGTTGAACTCGGCGGCGTAAAAGCTGCAAATGCGCCCGTATAACGTAGATATACACTGCTCCATATGTATCGTTTAAGGCCTGATAGTATAATGAGAAAAAGAAGAAGAACACATCAGCCACGGACTGCGCTAAGAAATCTATTCGGGAACAATTCCAATCCAAGAAAGGTATCCAGAAGCCAAAGGGCACTCCACCTTTTATCACATTAGGCATCAATGAAAACAACATGTAACACATGTACGCTATAAAAACAGCTGAAATCATTCGGTTTCCCATAAGCGCAGATCTACGTATTAGGGCTACATCTTCTGGCTTCTTGTACCGTGCATCCATAGCTGCCAATGTAGGTTCAATACTGCGCAATCGATTCAAGGATAGCGCCATGATTATAATTTTTGGTGGCATACCAAGTACATTCAGACCGGCCTGTATGCCGTTGAGGAAACGCATCGTTCCTATTTCGTGTCTCGCATATTGGATGATGGAGCCAACCACGCAAACTATTGGTAAAATGAAAATTATGGATCCATTGAGAAGTATTGACCAAATGTAGTAAAGCGGGCCAGTATCTTTTGGTGGATTTGAACCCAAGATAGTGTAACTCTTGAAGAGGTAAAAGAATGCATCACTTGAACGAAAATTAGCTATTCCGCGTCCTGTTAGCAACTCAAACATTTTTTTCCTCTAATTAACCGCCAATGGTGCGAATGAGAGATTTAAAATTCTGAGAATGTTGGAAATCCACTGCGAAATGGGATTTTATATTACGAATATAATATAAAACTGAGTAAGCCATGGGCGCCAACAAAAAGGCTGAAAGGCTCGAAAATAATTTAAAAACAAGTAATTTGAAACAAATTTTTTTAAAGACGAGCTCTTGTTACCACCTAACGGCTAAATTTTTTTCGGGTGGTTTGTTCCTAAATATTAAACACATCGGACCATAAATACAATCCGTACTATCTCCACACCTGGGCCACCTATCGCGCAAATTGTTATGGATTTATTCCATTTCATGTAATTAATATTTGTACGTTCCAAATATGAACCAAATCGCACTATATATATGGATTTTCCCAATATTTCGATTTCTGCGCCACCTATCGGGCAAAATTCCTTTTCGAGTAAATAATAAACATGCCAAATATAAAAACCTAATGCGGCTCTGTAGAGTAACGTCGTAAGCACAACTTTCAGCTCCGTTAAAATTAGGGAGGACCTTTCTGCGCCATTATAGACCTAACAAGGTTTTAGAACAGCAATGAGCAGAGAAAGATTTGCTCTCGGGCAGGGCGGTGCCCATCACCGTTTTCAAAAAAGGCAATTCACTCTCGTGCTACTTTTTCAATTTGAAGCCCCAGCGTCATTATGCCCGTTCTTTTATATGGCCAAGAAACTTGGACGATGCCGAACTAGGATGAGAAGGCTTTCGACACTTAAGTACATATGAACTATTTTATGTAAGATCTATGGCCCTGTTCTCGAGTGCGAGGGATACCGAAAAAGATGGTATGACGAGCTTTTTAAAAACAGTGAAGCGCATAAAAATGCAACGATTGTTGGCAACATGCAAGGTAATAGCGCAAACATAGTGCAGTGGTCGTAGCTACCGCCAGAACACCGTCTATACAGTAAGGCCTAAATTCTCGCACTAAGAGAGCACATAATCATGCTCAGCAAGCACCCACTTCCGCGAAGTCGGAGCCGCCACCTAGGCACGTCAGAGGGAATCTCTACGTACTGATGGACGGCAATTGGACCCGCTATTGTATAGACAGACAAGCCATACGGACATTTATAGAGAGACCGTCACACAGTGCTTTCTCCCATAGGCAAAATTTTAATAAAATAAAAGTGCTTGGAATATTTAAGTAATATACATTTTTGCAAAGCTAACATAGTACCTTTAATAGACTTGTAAGTTGAATTTACCAACTCTCCTTTTTGTTAACAGTATAGGGCGCTAAAGTAAGAAAATTTTTATTTTTTTTTTATTACTTTGAAACTTGTTATTTTTATTTACGTACAAAAAAACAGAAATAATTTTTGGTAAATGTTTCTTATTTTAAAAGTAGTTTGTGCTAACGAAAACTTTTGCGATGTTTTTATTGGAATTCCCAAAATTGCAAAAGTTTGGTGGAGTGAAATAAAAAAAAATTGTTTAAGGCTGCGTTATTTTTTATTTACTTTTTTGGTACGTTTTGTAGTGCTTTAATAGTATTTGTGAGGAAGTTTTCGATTTTTTTGCCGGAACTGTAAATATTATATGCATTTTTTAAGCCATATTTCTCAAGTTTCAGAAAAAAAAGAGCTAAGCTTATGAGTATCGCCAAAATTGCAAAAAAAAAAAGAATATGGTGTTAAACTTTTTTTAATACTATAAAAAATTATATTGAATCCAATATTCAGGCCTCTGTGTTTACTTGACGCGTTTTATTTCCACTTTCTTTCGGATTCCAGAACCTGCCTGTAAAATTCGGAAAATGAAACACAAATCCCAAAATACGGATTCAAGGCGAGTTTTGTTGAAATTCACTCGGAAGTGAATTGCAAAACCTGCCTGATTACTTCCATTTTTTTTTTTATTGAGCAAGTTTAGACAAATTTTTATTTATGATCCCTTTCAAAGAAAATATTAAATTATAAATTTTCTTCAATAACTAAAATTCATAAGGGCGGTAGTCATTTCCTGATACCAAATGAAAAAAATGGTAATATTAAAAAACGCAAAAAACCCACTGAATTCAAAATGGTGCATTTTTCACATATCTAGTGGTGGCTCGCCATTTCGCGAGTAAGCCAGCGATTGATAGTGTTGTCAACTACGCTAGGCGCGCTCTAAGATACAAATTTGAGAGTCTTATATCTATCTATGTAGTTATCCATGTAGAACACTTTGAGGTGCAAAACCTTTTTTTTTGTATCCTCAGCTCTTGATTTCGCAGATAAACCATGGATTCTCAATCCAAAATTGCGTTATTGATTAAAATTTACAAAGAGGAAACTTTTGCAAAACGGGCGTGCACTTAAATATGTATGTATATATAGTACATATGTACTATATTGAGTAGGAGTATTTCAAACAAGGAGACTAAATTCTTGGCGCCCTTTAATTAACTGAAGCTAAAGTTGCTTTAAACATTATATTTCCGTACATATGTTTATATGTATGTATGTACATATGTATATATACAGTATCGGTCATATCTATAGCACGCCATTTTAAAGTGATATTGTGTGCCACTCATGTTTATTTATTTATTTTTAAGAATTTTCAATTTAAATACAGTTCTTTCTCTAACAAAACCCATACAAACCCAAGTTTAAGAATTTGTAGAAAACTACAAAAAAGTGCAACAAATTTTCACCTAAATTTCAAACTTTTTTCTCGAAAGTGTTNGTTGCGGTTTTCTTCCATATACAAATAAATTGAGTTTATTCATTATATGGAAGCCAATGCGACAAAAAAAAATCTAAAAAATTAACGGTAATTCGTACTTGAAATTTGCACATTATCAGACTAAAATTGCAGGGGCTAAAAAACTGTGTACCCAAAAAAATTATAACACTTCCGGGAAAAAAGTTTAAAATTTAGGTGAAAATTTGTTACACTTTTTTGCAGTTTTCTACAAATTGTTGACCCTGGGTATATAATGGGGTTTGTCTGAGAATGAACTAAATTTTAATTGAAAATTCTTAAAA